GTTGATAATGATGATGATGATGATGACAAGGAACTCACTGTGGCTGTCAACGAATCAACCAAGTACCCATCGTCGATCAAATATACAGAAGAAGAATGTGGAAACGGATTGGATTGGACATACACTGAGAAGACCGTTGGTGGACATCACGGTTCATGTCAGACCGCCGAGTGGAAGCTAATGGGAAACGACAAATTGGGTATCCGATCTGAGGGTGACATGGAGAAGATGGTGTGAGGAAGAAATGAAAGGTTGTGGGCAGTCGTGTAGTCAGGTTCAAAGGAGTGTAGAGAAGAGAGTGAAATGGTGATATGCTACTAAAGCGGTATGTTCCACTATGAACCCAAAGGACAAATAATAAATAATCATATAATAATTAAGCCTAAAAGTAGATTGCTATTTTGTTAGTTAATGAATTTATCTAACCCTATAGATGGGCATTTTATGCAAGACAATTACTTTTGGCAATGTTTATTCACCGAATAAAAACGCTTTTCTGTATATGTGATGAACCGAAACAATCATGAAGGCAGACAAGAATGTGTCTCACTTCAGTATATAAATATGTTTGTGAAGATGTCTTCAAACATTTTTCAATGTTTTCAATATAATCGGTATTAAATTATTGAAGCAAATAAAAAATGCAACCGATTTAACTTGAGAAAACTGGTTTCTTCAATTCATTTCTGTCTGTTTATATCGAAGATGAATTTTAATTTCTTAGAATTTTATTTGTTCACTCAACCAAAAAGTACACAAATTTCAACGTTTAATTGTTTGTACTTTAGTGATGCTCAACCAAGACCATAATAAACTAGATGGTAATTTCTAAAATGATTTATCTTATGAAGATAACATCTTCAATGCTTAGTGATTGTTACACAGTTAAAGCCAAATTATACAACTAAACAAGCCTGATGCATTTGAAGAAGAATTGTGCACAGTTCGACATTCAAAATTATTGCATATATACTGTTTAAACATGTAGCTATTTTATTTAGCAGAAGAGTAGCTACCACTTGATTATACTTTCACTATCAGTAGTAAGGCATCAAAAATTCACGTGGTAGTCGGTGACTGAAGTGAAATAAAAATCTGGTCGGCTGTCGGGTCTTACAATTCAGCTGCTAGAGCAGCGGGCCTGAAACCTGGTAGTTGCTGGGTAGAATCCTAGCGCGGCCCAAATTTTCGTTTCGCCTTCAAACATCACCCAGTATCAAGTGTATATAAAGCAGGCATGTTCACTAACCGGTTGAAAATACCGAGTGCTGAAAACATCTGGTTTTCAAGTAGGATTTATTAAGTTCACAAATGTTGATGAAACTCTTAATCCAGTTACTCTGTATACTTGGTCCTATCTGCCATAACGTAATGCAGAGTCAGATACATATATGGACTAGAGGTTGGGACGATAAACAAAGCCTAGAAACATAAAGGTTTTCCGAACATTGTCGAGTTGACGTATTAAATGGTTGGGAGGAAAATGAAAGCTGACCGAAAAAAAGAGATGAATAAAAACTTAGTTATATCATCGTTGATAGAATAGTTGACAAGGGACTGGATACCGGTTATAGATCTGTTTACTGAATTAAACAAGTTAGTAATGAATGCAGGAACAAGACAAGAACAGAAATAACTGACTAATAAAGACAACTGACAAACATTAATTAGTTGGTGAAATCACAGTACATTAAAAACGCTGCCACGGTAAATTGAGAGTCACTGCCATTTCTTTTCTCAACGACAAAGATTGACTCAAAAACTCAAACTGTACAGACTTCTATGGTTTCAAGCAGTTTCTTATTCTAGAATAAAATGAGTCCACTTTATTTCATGGCCTTTCATCAGCTGCAAGCAGTCTACAATTGAAACAAATTATTAGTAGTAATAATAACATAACATACTTTGTACACTCAGAAATAAATAGAGATTTAGAATCCGGGATTTTCGTATCTAAGTATAAGACGGAGATGTGATGGTACAGTTGAGAAAACTATCCACAGAAAAGACACATAGGTTGGACAGTACCTTGATTATAATAGCTTCTTTCCTGTCAGCTATAAGTGTGGTTTAGTCAGGACGCTATTAACTTGAATAAAAAGGCTGTGCCCTAAAGATAAACAGGAAGAAGAATTCGGAATAATAATTGAGAAGGCCCTTATAGAGAATGGAAATCCTAAGAAATTCACCATGAAACATGGAAAAGAATTTAGTGAGAGACCAAAACATCCAGCTGTTGAGAGGAAGCCTGTAACCCTTCGTCAAGCATTCAAAGGTAATGGGACATCTGAAATAATTGGAGAAGAAAAGAAGCTACACTGAGAAGGGGCTTCCCTGATACCAGATTGATCTCAGTTTACAAAACAGTATGCTCAATAACACAGTCGAAAGTAGACAAATACCCATCTCACGTCATCTCCAATTGTGTGTAACAATTCACGTATGCTTTTGGAAGCAACGACAAGGCACAAACTGAAAGAAAGGCGTTTACTCGATTTTATAAGCATATTCCGAGAAATATGTGTCAGTCGCCAGGTATCTGGTGGAAACGTGACTTGAAATATTTGTTTCTCAGTCCGGGATAATCAACAAACGAAAAAAAGCATGTTCATTAAGGTTTTTGGAAGCTCTGGCTATCAGGAATTTATGACCTGACCTATGTACTCAGAACCAGACTGTAATTACCCTTTCTTTACTTTGGTAACTGTATACAATTCTTTCTATGTATGTGTATATATTCTTCCCTTTTCTTTTGACTGCATCATCTCTTCATTAATTACTTACTGAGTGTTATTCACTTAACGATTTTCAAGTTTTGGTTGCATTGTGTTCTCTGACTTGAGTTGTGTAATCGTGCAGCTTTCATCGTCTTTCTAGACGACATCGTCAGCACTAGCTTCAGAATCAAGTGACCTGTCAATATCTCTCCGTGACTCATTCAGTAGCTTGCCCTGAGGAACTGGCTTGTAACTGGTTATTTCCTTTGATTGTAGTGTCGTTGACTGCATATTTTTTCCTGTTAGTTATTCCTCTGCTTCACCTCTGACGTTTCTGTCGTTTTCCTTGTCTCCCATTGGTTGATAGACTGGGTCTGTCTATACATCTATTGATTCCTGATTGACCTGAATGTTAAGCTTCTGGGAATTCTCTGATATTCTTTGTGTTTCCTATCTCCGTCCAAAATTTCTACATTGTCAAAATTGAATTCCTGTCCATCGTTGGTATCCACGTGCATCGAAATGAGTGACGAAATGTCGTGACGTTTAATAGCCAATTGGTGCTCATGTAGACGAAGGCGAAGAGGATGGCTACTTTGTCCAATGTAGCGTTGACTGCAATTATTGCAGTTGATGTTGTAAATGATATTCTATGTCTTCTTTGGTTGTTGCATCCTTTGGTCTGCATAATAGTGTTTGTAGGGAATTTGTTGGTTTATGAGCCACACCAATTCGAAATGGTCTCAGCAATCTTGTCGTGATTTCCGATATATTCTTTATGTATGGTAGGATGATGCGTTTGTTGATTTGTGTCGATGACTTTCTAGTTGATGATGTACGGAATAGGTATCTTCTTATAAAGTTTGTTGGGTAGCCGTTCTTCTTTAGGACAGATGTCAAGTAATTTTCTTCGTTTCTTCGTGAAGTCTTTCTACTTCAGTGTGTTCTCGCTCTTTTGAATAAAGTCTGCACGCAATTAAGCTTGTGCGTTGTTGCTACTGTAGTTGAGTATTTGGTCAGTGTGTGTTGGCTTCCTGTACACGTTTGTTCCAGGCTTTCCGGCATTTGTCCTACTGAGTAAAACATCCAGGAATGATGGTTGCTTGTTTAACTCGTGATACTTTGTAAATTTGATGTCAGACAGTGAGTGTTTTCTGTCATCTTTTTTAATGTTGACAATAGTATCGTCTGCATGGAGAATCCAAATTTTCGTCTAGAAAGACGATAAAAACTTCACGAGTAAACAAATCAGCTCAGAGAAGACAATACAACCATGACCATCCACCTGAGCTACAAATATTCTCCACGATCTTCAAGTTTTTCATGTAATAACTTAACTTGTTAGCCCTTACTCGTTTGTTGTTTCCTCCCCCCCACTGCAAAACTCCAGAATTTTCTATCTCATCAGATATAAACTGCCACTGATTTTGACTAAGATTTGTAACTAATATTCCTGTGTTTCCTTGACTCACTCACTGCCATATTGCTAATCCTGGATTTCAAATCTTCATTTATTTCTGCGTGTTTAAAGTATGTAATGTTGTTATTACAACTAATAATCCATTTTAATTGTAGGTTGTTTGCAGCTGATGAAAGGACATGGAATAAAGCTAGCTCATTTTATTCTGTAAATGTCTTTGCTCTTGTATTATTCAAATTTGTCAAGGGAAGTAAATGTATGAAGTTTCTTATTCCGTTGTTTGCTCACCTGCGTAAACGATGTGACAGTGCTGAAATTATGCTTGAAGTCTAGTAGGTGTTTGATTATTGAGCTTCTTGTAGTCTTCGCATCAGAAATAAACAAGCTTCGTCTCATTTGAAGTTCATTGGATGTCTGTAGTGATCTGATTTACACCAAAGTTCAAACTTAATCACATTGCTTAGAACTGCAGAACGTTAGCCTCTAGGCTTCTGAGTTCAGACAGCTCATTCTTGTACAACACGTATAGTTTGATATTATCGCTTGGAGTTACTCATCTTCGACTTGTCCGAACCGAAGCAAACAACCACTAAAATTCTGTTTTAAAGATTTTAATTCACTGATACTTCTGCCGAAATTGCACTTTGAACCTATATAATATTTTTATTTTTTTTCTCTCTGTGCGTCTGTATCACAGTTCTTTCTTAGACCAGAGAAAAAAGACAACTAGCACTTCGAAAGTAATGTTAATTAATCTTGAAGGTCAAAACTTTGGACCAATCAAATGAAAAGCATCTTAAACCAATCAAATTTTTCAAGACTCAATCTTTTTCTGATTGGTTATTAAACAGTATACTTAATTCACATTCAAAAAATTGTTAGTTTTATGCCAAGAAAGTATAATTTGAAATGTTCGATTTTATATTTATTAAATGGAATCGTTGAATTCAAGTGTTCAACAAGTCGAAAATATTCAGAACAGTGATCCAGTATGGATAAGCACCTTAGTACTACTTGGTTGTGTTTCATGTTTAGGAACAATTGGAAATCTACTTGTACTTGGAGTGTTTATACAGCATCATTTTTGGCCACATTTACATTTAAAGTATAGACAAATCTATTTAAATCAACGATTAAGTTTAATAAACACTAATGATTTACGATCTTCATCCTACTTTGATAATAATAGTAATAATAACATTAATAATAATTATATTTTACGAATTCATGAATCGAATGAACAACTTTTCACTAAAACAACTGGTACACCGACATTTTTTATCCTTGTACTAGCTTGTGTTGATTTAATGGTTTGTTGTTTTGTTGTACCGTTAACATTCTATATGGAGTATATACATTTACAGCCATCTACAGATATTTGGTGTAAAACACATGCTTTCTTGAATATATGCAATATTATGTTTAGTTCATTATTAGTTATTGCTATTGCTTTAGAAAGATATCTAACAATCTGTCATCCATTAAGATGTATACTGACAATGAAACGAGCTAAATATTTAACATTAAGTTTAGCAATATTTTGTATAATTTATGGAATTCTAGGTGCATTACATCATAGTTTAGGCGTGACTATGAATGAACCAAACATAGAACAGTGTTGTGATACAGCAGAATTACCAAATGCTACTTATATACAAAAGATAACATATGATATCTTACAGAAAGGTAATACAGCAAGTTTTATTCTATCTATTTTATCTGTTATTATCCTATATTCATTAATTCTACGTGTTGTCATTAAAACAAATAGATTTAATCGACAATCAGTTTCTAATAGTATTGTAAACGATAATTCATTGTACAATTCTACCCTGTTGGAAATGAATCGAAACTTTACTTGTTTATCAACGGATTTAAACAACAACAGTTCAATTGTCAATGATAATAACAAAAACAATAAAGCGTCAATTATACATCATAAGAGTTTTGGGAATAAATTAAAAATGCATTTATCAATTAAAGGGATAACAGAAAGTACATTATGGCGTGAATTACGATCAGCTAGTGTATTATTTGTTGTTGCTGTTGTCTATATTATTGTATTTACACCCGCTTTATTAACAGCTAATAAATTGGTTCAATTCAATTTACTCGCTTACAATACATACTACTTAAATAATATGTCAAATCCAGTAATTTATTGTTTTATGAGTCATGCATTTAGACGAAAGTTGAAGATACTACTATTCAATAGTATTGTATCCTTGAAAAGTTATCGTTCAAAAAATGATGGATGCTTTCAGTCAAATCGACAACTTCAACAACCGCGTCGTAAACAACAGTTTAGATCAAGACAAATAAATCATCACAGTTATAACAATAATAATGAGGAGAACATTAATGAAAATAATAGAGAAAAATCAACCACTGGTGATCAATGATCAATTTTCAAAGATAACTTGAGTTTTACACTCTTTCGTAAATAATACACCAAAAAACAGGATAATAATTATGACATGAAGGGTAAGGGACATTATACCAGTCGAAATCTTTCTGTAGACCGAATACTATAGTTATTTTTGTCATTAAATGTATGTAAATATTTGTTTAAAATTCTTTCGAAAACACTGAACATTGGACAAAACAGTAAAGCAATTGAATAAAGGACTTTTTTGGTGTATCTGTAAGATTTTTAAATCATTATGAGTGACTGTTGTCTTAAATTTGGTTCACAACTGTTTAATATAAATGTAGGTTCTTCGGTATATCATGTGTCACATTTTATTTGATTACTGATGGTAAGCAAGACATCTGAGAACTTATCATTAAACAGCAGAGATATTCAGAGACCATATTTATATGATATAAACACCAAACAACTGCCTTATTCTTTTTCTGAACAACACTGAGAAGCTAAAAAACTCAGTTTAACTGAATTTTTGGTTAGCTGATTTGAATGGGATATTATACTTAATTAAATGATAGAATGAACAATTTGCAAACGGTTTACAAGTTTCGTGGTACACATCAACAAGGTTTCCGCTGGAAACCACCCACAATCTGTGGTCTCTGAAACGAAAATGTCATAAACTGACGTAATACACTACGGAACAAGATAAACAGTAGGAGACCACTTCGGCTGATTTGCAGATTACATCAGCCTAACCGGAGTCATCTAAACACCTTATAGTCTTTTCTCTGGTTTGGGGTGAAGCTTACCAGTGGTGTACTCATTTGCACAAATTCAGTCAGTGGAGTTGAATCAATTCAATTTGTAATAAATTGGACCCAAAATATCATGTATCACATGTTGTAAGTTATTTTTCCAATAAAATTCTTGAGACAGCCTTTGTTTGATAAACTAATGTTACTGATATTTGTTGATACTGATACCTACTGCATAAGTATCGTATGTCGTGCTCCAACGGCCTAATGGATGGTGCTTTCGTGTCTGAAGTGATAAGTACGGGGTTCGATTCTCACTGAGGACAACATCCCTCAGTGGAATGCAGGTACATCCACCTGACAAGTCCGAAATGGAAGAAAACGGTCCTTCTGGATTCCACTGTTAGTCATTAAAGAGATTACAACACAGTGTCACTGATACTATTTAATGAATAGTGAAAATGTTCAAATCCTTGGTTGAGACAAGATTTGGACCTAAGACACCTAGTTTACGGGCCCCACACTCTTCAAGCTAAGCAACAAGACCCAGCTGGTGACCAGGTTGTAATTAGAATGAAATAAACTGACAACTGACTGCCTACGTGTATAATTACTGTACTTTACAAGAAGTGTTTACGTCTAACTATTCGCTATAAACGCTGAGTTTTACCTTATCAAGATAATACAGTCGATAGTCCTTCAAGTATATTACATAGAGCATGAAACTGCGGGAGTAATAATGCATACTTTGAAATGTAAATAAGTTTCTTGCAAGTGATTCGGTATTTTAAGTTCTTATTTAGCATTATGGTGTTTAATTGATCCGTCTCTCTTGAAGTATTTTACTACCTGGTAGGTCAGCAGAAACAAATTGCCACCGTGATTTAAGAAATGTGTTGTAGTTTTTAAATCTAGGTGAATAAGACTTTGAACGTAAAATAACAAACATTAAAAAATTCCACTATTAGGCAACACCCAGAAAATTTACATGTTTCCTGTTGATAAGTTTACAGTTCGTTACACACGTTAGATATACAAACTAAAAGATTAAAATTTAACCTGATAAATTTGAATAAATTGAGCATTGGGTAAATGAATTATGGTGATTCTTGTGGTCCGAATGAGAAGTCGTGACCGATGGGGCAACTAAATCGAACCTAAAAACAGTTACTTAACAATGGCATTGGATGGAGGTCGCGCTGTATAGTAAACTGTCAGAACTAGGGAATATGTACCTTTGGGTTAATGTTAACGTGTTGGTCACGGAGCCTGAAGTTACTGAGTTCGACCCCTGTCGGGGTCATGTGTGTGGACTGCCGAGTCCCATACTAGGATTAGAAAGCTGCCTAGTGCTTGCAGATTTATTTGTCTGCAACTAATGTCAGTCCTTGATGAATACAACCAGAAATCAATAAATAAATCCCCGAAAACCTCAAAATTTAATATTAGTTCAATCGTAATGAGGTAGAAAAATAAATTGCTGACCTTTCATGACCTTCTTCCTGGAAGTCACTTCTTCAGTAAATAAAAGATGTACAAGTTACCACATGTTAAAATGGTAAAAAACGATAAATCAGATCGCGTTGTTCATACATAATAATACTGTGAGAATAAATGTTATTTCAAGTTGGTATTCATCATAGACTGACATCAGTTGGAGGAACAGTAGAAATCTGATAGCACTGGATAGCTGTTTCGTCCCCATATGGGACTCCTCAGCAGTACGCACCCGTGACCCCGCCTTTCCAGGGATCGAACCCGCTTGATAGTCATGAGGACAGTTTTTCTACGATGACATTGAGTGGTGGTTGCGCTATGTCGTGAACTGACAGAAGCTGGAAATATGGAGCACTGGATTCTGGCTGACCCAGTGTCTCAATGGTAACGTGCTGGCCACGGAACCTCAAGGTCTCGGGTTCTATCCCTGGTGGGGCGGGGTCGTGGGTGCACACTGCTGAGGAGTCCGATACAGGGACGGAACAGCTATCCATTACTCCCAGGTTTCCTTTGTTCCTCCAACTGATTTCAGTCTATGATGAATACCAACTTGAAATGTTTCTTAATTCCCACAGCCTTCTAAACATTCAATAAATGTTATACTTATCACTTTGAGGTGAAGTTATGAATATTTATATTTGTATGGGTCACATTAGGTTTGAAATAGCTGTCAATCTTTTTTTTCCAGCACCTAATATTTGTAATACTTTTTTTATCAAATGTTGTTCATAGTTCAAGTAAGTTTCTATTAATATAGACTAATGATATGAGAGTAAACGACGCAGTTGACAAATTAATTATATGAGACTGATATAACTTAGATATATGTTCTGTGTGCCTAGTCACTGATATAAATTTAAAAATTGGGCACTATTGTAGAATTTAATTCCATATTAGATTTATTTATTTGATTTATAACAGACAGTGATACGTCATTATTTATTACATGCTCAAAACATCAACAAGTAAACAATTGGTCCAAACTTCTTTTGATACTGAAAAATGCTTAAACCACAATTTGTGACCTATATTGTTTGAGTACTGGTACTAGTACTTCTATCAGAGTTCTGGATGAAAAATTAACACTGATCGCCATGACTAACTGAAAAAAATTTATTATCTCTGTTAACAAACACCTATTTCTGCTAACATCTATATTGTATGGAAAACACCAAAATTTCATATTGACTTAGTGGTATTTTCCCAAGATGAGACAATATTGCTGAAATCGTTCAAGAGATATTTGCAGAGATGAAATCTTCTCTTTTTATGTAGAATAAGAAGGTTAATAATATTAAAATTCAATAACACTGATAACCAGTGATCTGTTGGAAGAATATTGGAAACCTGGGAGCACTGGACAACTGTTTCTTCCTAACACAGAACTCAGCAGTGTGAACCAATGACCCCCACACCCTAGGGATCGAACCCAGCACAGTACGGTCCCGTGGCAAACATCTTACCACTAAACTACTATGTTGAAACCCAATGGTCCATATTTCCTACTTCTGTGTGTTCACGATATACTGCAACCTCCAGCCAATGCCACCACTGAGTAACTGTCCTCATGTTTGACTTTGTTGATTCCGCTAGTCGTCACTTCTCACTGAAACTTCGAAAACCACCTCTTGAAGGTAGTCCCGTATGAGCAATGTGAAACCTAAACAAGCAATTAAAACGCGTAAAAGAAACGCTAACAGTTAATAATTATCCTCCCCAGTCTATCAAGAAATTCACACGAACACACAAGAAGCGAAAAAATAACAGTCACGCGAGTACAATTAATGATGACAACACAAGTAAAAAGGGGTTCATAGCCTTCGTTGTTTTAGCCTATAAACAGGGTACTTCGGAAACTTAACGTAGGATCCTCAACAAAGTTGGGATTAGGGTGGTATTCAAACCTACAAACTCATTCAGAGATAAACTTTGTCGACTGGCTTAAGGTTCCGACAGAACCAATTAAATAAAATAATCTAATCTACCAAATTCCATGTAATGACTGTGAGTCGGATGAATTACATAGGTCAAACTAGTCGGTCGGGATCAGTTAGAATAGTCGAATTTAGCTGAATATAGAACAAGAGACGAAAATAAGCTCAATAATCTGGTAAAAATACTCGGCTATCGCTCTGCATGCATTAACATACAACCACACAATAGAATGGTTGGGATAAAGCCACTGTACTTCATTCCAATATAATTAGGTGGAGAGATAGAGGGAAGATTGATTACTGAATCTTTGATCATCGAATCAACACCCAACATAACACACGTAATAGGCATGTTGCAACATCCATCTTTACAAGAGATATACAAAATTTTACTACTCATAAAAACAAAAAGCATCAGGTAACAGAACTATAAAAATCAAATGTCGAAAGGGTTGTGTGATTACACTGATGTGTTTATGAGCAATAATAATTTATGCTGGAGATTTCGTCATCAAGTAAGTAATACTGAATCACTATGTGTTATAAATCAAATAGACCAATCTAATATGGAAAGTGCCAAGTCACTGCCTACCTCGATATGCTTTGCTAGGTGGAATTTGCATTAGGTTGGCGTAGGGTTCATGGTAGCCAGACCAGGATGTGGTACCAATAGATACTATTCTGAGTCATATGAGGGAGTTGTAGACTACCTGACTGAGGTCCCCAAGATGATAGGAATCAATGGTTGAGGAATCTTAATCACATGATTGGAAATCGGATATAATGGCGCAGACGTATTCACTCCTTGACATACTCCAGAGTTGGAATACTCGCACTAACCTTTATCTCCTTTGATATCACGCCTTTTCTGTCCGCCTGTTCTTTGTGTACTTTTATGAAGTGCAGTAACTTGAACCGATGCAGCTGTGTACACGTTTCTACTTTGATTTTATCAGTCAGTCATTTGATTCATAGTTTATCGATATATTGGGTAGTGGTCACCATGCCTAGTGACTCGATGTTGCAATACACTGTTTTCATGTTTGATCCTAGTAGTTGAGCAACAGAATGTGCTAGATATTTTGTTTTGCGGTTACTGATGCTCATCACTAAGGTGTGTACACAAATTTGAAGCAGCTCATATTTCTTGAAGGATACTAACATGTTCCACTGAGTAAAAAAATCACCGATCATATTCATGAAACATTTGTGCCTTGTGGACAGAATCAATTTATTATAAATATGTTTGTAATAAATATTTACACAAAATGATATTTTAAATTTTGATAGTATTTTGGTCAAAACTGCTGTCTGTGATCACATAAATCGTTGGAATTATTTGTTCACACGTTCACTGTTAGATATTATATATATGTGATGGTTTCATTTTATACGTTTTTAATTTTCTAGTCAATACTAGATTTCATGTTATCGGAAGTGTCGTGAATCACCTGCGTTGCATGTATTACCTACGCAGGCTGCAAGCCATGCTCATATATGATTTGAGATCAAACCACAATAAGCTTCGGTGATAGGTTGCTACACTTTCATTGGTTGTTACTAAGACAATCTTTGTCACTTTCCTTTCCACCATATAGTGATATTCATTAGTTCAGTGGGTACTTGCCTCCAATCAGACATAGGTCATATTTTACATATATCGCAACTGTGACTCAAGGTAAATGTTAATATAGTGGATCTGACAAATGTACAAGATAAAAAACTCTATATATATGATATCTCTCCGTAAATGTATGAACGAAAAATTCCAGAGATTGATGAGATCACAGGTAGTGATTTTGCTCGAAATATTACTAAAATAAAAAACATCATTATGTGTAAATACTCATTAAAAAAAATATTGATAATAAATAGCCAAAAACAGCCGACTGTGTTCGAACATTAAACGTCAATCTACTATTGGTTGGAAAAACATTTCTTGTTATTTTGAAATATCTTTGATGAAAAATCTACCAATGTATTCATTTACTCTTTTTTTTTTTTTTACTTCACTCACTATTATTTTTCAAATACTAACCACGTTGTCATTTACGAAGGCAATCTCCATTATTGATGATAGTGATATTTGTTCAGTGTTGTCGAAATTTTTCCTTTTGTTTATAGCCGCTTTTTCTGAACTTGCTTCATAAAGAGTGAAACATTTTCAGACTGAATGAATTTTTAGTTATTTATAAGAGTAAAATGAGTACACAAAACCAGCTTTTTATACTTGTTGATAACGTGTTTTTATGTATTTTGAAAAGAATGAATAGACTTTAGTCAGCTTTGACTATTCACTGTTCAACAGCTAAATTAGTTACACTTCGACGTTCAATTCATGAGCGTAAACCAGCTATACAGTGAGTCATTCACCATCTGAATAGTTTACCAGTAAAGTTTCAGACTGTACCTCTGAGTGATATAGGTTTAAATACTTGAGGAGACATAGGTGATCTAGTGATTTTAAAATCCCAGTGTTTTTCAATAACAATAATAATAATAATAATAATAATAATAATGGCCTTATTCTGAAAGCTTTTTCGACAATACTCTACAGAATTCCCAGAATGTCATAATGCATTAGTTGTACAGGGATAGTGTGCATGTATACACAACAAAATGAAATAAGTAGAAATTTCATGAAGAAAAGATAAGAATATTCACTCTATCTACAACTCTTTTGAAAACGTACAGTTAATTTAGGTAGATGGTCACATTAGGTAGGAATTAGGTTCATAATACATGAATAGTAACATGCTCATTCCTATCATCATTATTTGCTTTCAAAAACGGAAGTTAATTAGTTACTTTATTCCCAATACTTTCTTCATCGCACAGCAGACGAGCTAAACACGCTATTGTAGAGTTTTTATGCTCAGTAATACTTGCATATAGCCTTATGCACTTGCTCTTGGTCTATACAGATGTCCCACACGAAAAGATTGTTGAGTGAAGAGGATACTGGTCATCTGAAGAAGTAACTCCCACCGGATGTTTACATCAGTAAGAATGTTTATCCGCAACTGCTCTCACTAGAAGGTCCAGAGGTGCATCACTAGTTCTCCTAACAATCTCCAAAATTCGAAACAATACAGCATAGTCTTTTCTCAGCAATCTAGGGAAGAATAAAGGGGAACAATAGAGAAGAACAGGCAAGATGCATGGGTTTACAAAACATAAGAGGAGAGGTTGGGTTATACGAGATACCCTCAGCTTCCTGATATAGAAAGTTGGGTGGGAAATTCTTCTGAGAATTTGTAAAGTATGGGAGGACCAGGAAATGTTGAAAGAAAAACACACACTGAGATAAATCGCACTTGTAACATTCTTTAATGGATAACTCTCGATAGAAAATGAATCATAAGAACTAAGCAGTTTGCACACATTATGTTGACGTCTGAAGCTAAAGTTGGTGGCCTGACCTCTGGAAGGATTAGGCATAAGACCACTGATGGAGGACCATCGTCTAACAGTAGATACTAGGCGAAATCATTTAGTTGAGGACGATCTGCTGAAGAGAAGACAGGTGTGAAAACTGTCAGGTCATGAGCACATTTGACGAAATTGATAATAGATGCAGATGGTAAGTTGTGCAGAGAGAAAGAGAAAAGATCGGAGAAGAGGACGACTTCTTGGGGAAGACGAGTCACAGTAAGCAGTGGGGTGGAGCTCTCCCCTCCGTGTATAGTATGCTGTTTTCTTCCAAAGAAATAGGAATGCAGCCAGATGACTATCCAGAACTCAATATCTGTTCCGATTAACTTGTCCAGCAAAAGGGGTCTTCGTATAGAATGAGATGCTGAAATATGGTCTGCAAAGTCACACCTGACATACTTTGCATTTCTATCAAGATTGTTGGCAATATTGTGATATGAGACAGTGATGGCATTCAAGGTGCTTTTTCTGCTTCTATATGCAGGTTGATTTGGGTCTCCGTAAGCCTTCAATGAAGGTTTAAGAAAGGAAAAGTAACTTCAGTCGGATGGAATTTCAGACATGCGCCTGAAGTCCTCGACTTAAGTAAGGGGACTATCGTAATATGGTATGTTGATGAGTAGTAACAAACGAAAACCCTGGGGCAAGTAGAGGTGACTATCAGCTGATTCCTAACATCCGACACCAAATGTACAATAAATCGCTGATAAATCTCTTTTAGGAAAGAGGGTTTTTTATAAATTCATAAATATACTAGTTACCTGATGAAATGAGGTTTTACAAAACAATAATGATATTAAGAATTTCATGTTTTTCTACATTCAGTCATGATGGCAAGTCATGTGCTGCCTAAATGTCAAAGTCATTGAAATAATCTTAGGTTATTGGCAGGAATTGTTTTTCACTTAGGTGTCAGTAGATAACAAATCAGTCGAATGTCCAAAAACTTGTAGTCCACAAGAATGAATGTAAAAAGTTTAATTGTGTAAATACAGACAAAAACAATATTATTATTATTATTTGTCCCTTGGGTTCCTAATGGAACATACCGCTTCAGTAGCACGTCTTCAGTGAACTTTGTTCTCTGAAATCTCTTCGACCTGGCTCCACGACAGCCCACAAGCTCTCATTTCCTCATCACACGATCTCCTCCATGTCGCCCTCACATCGGACGCCCACCTCATCGCTCCTCATTGGGACTCCACCTGAGGGCCTGGCCTGACGCGTGATGTCCCCCAGTCGGCCTTCTCAGTGTATGCCCAATCCATCTCCACTTCCTTCTGCATATTTGTTGAGCAATAGCTTCTTGCTTCGTTGGTTCGTTCCCAGGATTCCTTGTTGCTTATTTTTTCTGGCCATCTGATCTTCAGAAACGAGCAAGCGTAGGCAGTTGTTGATGAGTGTCTGTTGTTTGTTGGAGATGCCTTTCGTAAAGCACCAATTTTCTGAACCGTACAGAAGCACTGACTTCACGTTGGTGTTGAAAATCCGGATGTTGTTCCACATGCTGAGTGCAGAAGATCTCCACACTGGTTTCAGGCTCATGAACACCTGTCTTGCTTATCCGATTCTGACTTTGACATCCTCGTCTGTGCACGTGCCGCCTGTAGTTAAAACAGTGCTGCCTAGATAGGTGAAGGAGGCTACTTCCTTTAAGTTTCTCCCGTTCATGGTGATGGAAGCTTGTTGTTGTTGGTTGGGTATCTTCATCACCTCTGTCTTCTCTATGTTCACTTGAAGTCGTATCTTCGCTGCCTCACCTCTTCTGTCAACTTGTTGGTTTTCGCCTATAGATCTTCAAGTTTATGTGACATCAGGCACAAGTCATCGGCGAAATCCAAGTCTTCTAGGTTCTTTTCCGCCGTCCAGCGTATCCCCCTCTTCTCGCTGCCTACTGTTTGCTGCATGATCCAGTCCACCACAATAAGGAATATCATGGGAGATAGTAGGCAACCTTGTTTCACTCCTGTCTTCACTTCAAAAGCATCACTGAGCTTCCCATTGTGAATTACTTGGCATGTGGCATCTTCATATAGTTGTTGAATGAGGCGGATAAAGGTTTGCGGTACTCCGTAGTATTGAAGCAGTTTCCAAATTACTTCTCGGTCGACGCTGTCAAAGGCCTTCTCAAAGTCGATGAAGTTGAGGTAGAGAGCTGATTGCCATTCTATGCTCTGTTCTATGATGATGCGCAGTGTAGCGTTGCAATTTGGTCTGCACATGATTTGTACTTCCTGAAGCCTGCCGGCCCGTTCTGGTCGTAGTTTTGAATTCAGTGAATCCTTAAGCCTCTCCAGGATGATGCGGCTAAATATTTTGTTTGCTATGGGTGGACAGAAGTGTGATTCCCAGCAAGTTCTTGCAAACACTGAGGTCTCCCTTCCTCAGGAGTTTGACAAGGTGACCCTTCTTCCAACCCGTCATCAGGTACCTTCCTTTCCTTCTACACCTTCTGCAATAGTGGTGTGGTGTGAGCATGTCCGCTGTTGTCTCTGCATCTGTTCTCAGTGCTTCTGGTGGGATCCCATCTGGTCCTGCTGCTTTCTCACATTTCAGTAGCTTTATGGCGTTCAGGACTTCCATTTTTGTTGGAGGATTCATGTTCACTTGTAGTTCTGTGGCTGGGCTGCAGGAGGAATTTCTGGACGAAGTTCAGGTGGTGGTCGATTCAAGAGCTCCTTGAAGTGGTCAGCCCATTGTTTCCTTTGTTTCTCTTCTTTGGTAATTAAATTTCCTTCTTCATCTTTTATTGGTTTCGTCTGCATTGATCTCTTCCCAGATAACAACCTGGTTATTTGATACAATGTTGTCAGGTCTCTATCTCTCCCACCTGCAGCCTGTTCTGCTTCACTTGCCAATGTGTAGTAGAAGTATCTTTTGTCTTTGCGTGCACTCTTCTTCACTTCTTTGTCCAGTGTTTTATACATTGTACTCAGATCCTCTTCTTGTTGTGCATCCTTGCACTGGTTCATCTTCTGTTTCACCATCCTCCTCTCCCTCATCTATCAGCTTCCATGTATCCATCGAGACCCATTCCTTATCTTCTTTCTTCTTCCTTCCTAATACGGCTGTGCAGGTTTCTTTCCACATAGCCTTCAAAGACTTCCAGTGTTCTTCTACACAGGTTTCTTCAGGGATGTCCCTCGATATCTCCCATTTTGTCTTGATGGCTGGCTGCCGTGAAGATTTCCTTTGTAGTTTCATCCTTCAGTTCAGTTTCCGAGTGTTGTACTTGAACTGTGGTCGTCTATCACCAGCTTCCTTGAAGGCTTTCAACTTGATTTGGAAGGCAGATCCCTTGCACTAGGTAGTGGTCTGAACCTACATCTGCTCCTCTTCTTCACCTTATGTCAAGTAGGCTGCGTCTCCACTTTCGTGAGATTGAGATAAAGTCGATTTGATTTTTAGTGTGTCGTGGTGTCTGGTGAAATCCATGTCGCTTTGTGGATATCCTTGTGCCTGAACACACTGCCTCACTGCAATCAACAAATCGTTGAATGCACAGAATTCTGTAAACAATTCTCCATTCTCATTCATTTCGCCTAGCGCCTCTCGACCCATGGTTAGTTCTCTTCCCGTGTTGTCACGTCCCAGTTTGGCATTCATGTCGCCCATCAGAATTTTGATATCGCCAACTGCAGTGTGGTCTTGTCCAGTGTTGATTGAATTTGTCTGAAGAATTCCTCCTTTTTCTCTTGCTCTGCATTATTTGTAGGTGCACAGCGTAGCACTGTATGATTGTGACTTTCCTTCCTTTTGAGTTGAACCTCGCTGTCATAATTC